TTTCACATAAATAATCAATGAAATATTCTGGTCATAGGGAACTATTATGTAAATTATCAAAATTATCAAAATTCAATGCTTATAACCTCCTTGGATACTAGACGAACACTATCTGCATCTTTTCTTGTTTACAAATTCCGCCCAGAGAGAACTGGTTTCAATATGTACGCAGAGTATACGCAACTGCAATTAACTTTCCTTGCATTACATTCTTGCTTATAATCATGATCCTCTGCAACTTTAAACTTTCTTTCCTTGCCTTATCATTAAATACGCCATTTAAAAGCTACACTCAAGAGTCAAGTCAGAAGACTTAATTAAAACTTGGGATCGTCAGCATATTCTAGGTTTCTAATCGAATTAAAGTCTGATCTTTTGTGGGTAATTAAGCCTATATGTGGTAACATCCCCCCATGGCTAATGAACTTCTGACTTATTAACTTTCCGACCTGCTGCAATATCGGACCTACGCCAGCTGTTTATTTTTGTATTATTTGATCGTTAGGTTAGGTTATGACAATTTCTGGGCCAAGCGCTGCGACTAGGTTAGGCTAGGGGGCCGAGCGCCGCGGCTAGGACAGGCTAGGTTTCCATATAGCAGATGTAAAAACACAGGCTAAAAGGACGGATGTGTAGTATAGTGGATTTGGCGTAGGTCAGGAGTGGAGTATAGCGGATTTACGTATGTTTGAAAGATTCACCCCAAGTAACAATTTTGCGGAAAATCCGCGGAAATTCCCAGGAATCTTTCCTGGGAATCCGCGGAAATTCCCAGGAATCTTTCACAGGAAAATCCGGTGGAAATGTCGACAGGTTTTCCCAGGAATTTCTCGTTACCAATTCCGAGGAACCAGGTCCGAGGAATTTCTTGTAACCCATTCCGTGGAAATTCTCGTAACTCTTTCCAAGGAATTTCTTGTAACCAATTCTAGGGAATTTCTTGTTACCAATTCTTCAGAAAAACCAGAGAAAATTTGTAGCAAAAAGGTCTTCAGAACAAATTCCTGGGAATTTCCCTGGAACTATTCCCAAGATTTTCTCAAGAATTCCTTAGGAATATCTTTATTCCTCAAAGAAAGTCACCACGGTTGGTGAATCTGGGGAAATTCCTCACTTTTGTTACTTGGGACCATCCTATGTATATACGTGAATATATAAATTCCGAATTTGTCAGAATTGGATGATGATATTCAAGAACGGATTTGAATTGAATATGAATAATGAACTTTGCCCCCCCCCCCACATCCACCCCTTCACATATAGCTTATCTTGTAAGAAAATTTTGAAAACTTGAAATTTTAAAATTTAAACAATATTAATTGAAAGTGATTTTGAATTACAGACAGACTCCATATCTGCTTTACAACGGTATTAAGAATTGATTAAATTAATCAAAAATTTAAAATATGGAGCTGGCAAGGTTTCCTCCCTGATGATACTTTTATCCCTTTGATAAAAAATCGCAATTTAAAAAAGATAATCGAATACGTTGGAAGGTAGGGATGAGAAAATTAATCTAGAACCCNTACTGATTTACCCCTCTCCTCCAAATATTTATGCATACAACTTAATCCTGGAAATATGGGTTTATACACGTAAACGTGATGATCTGTGTGCATTGAGAGTATTTTGCATGCTATGGATTCAATAATCCCTTCAAGGAAGTAGATTTGGTTTGGTTTGGTTTGGATCCAGAAATACAAGTTGTAGATAGTGATGTTAATCGTTATATTGTTCGTTTTTTAGAAAACTTTCAATAAAACTTCCTAGATTTTAAAGTTAAAGTTTTCTTGATTACATTTTGCAATTGTTTAATCATTATAAAAACGGGGAAAACGATCCAAAACGATCGTTATTTCACATTCGTTTTTACACATCCAAATGTTGACCCCCCTGAAAGATAATATAGGCAAAAACAAACAAAAAAAACGAACTTAATGCACACATAGAATGAAATGTCAAAAAGCGTTGGGCTTTGATTTTGCCGCTCTAACTCATGTTTTTTCGTAGCCCTAAACATGTATATTTAAGTATTTTTTGCTATGATCTCATCAATTTTTGCTTGCACCCTCAAAAACGAAGTGTGCACATCACTAGCTGAAGTCTGTAGAGCGGAAGACGATGTATCTGAAAGCTAATCTTTCTCAACCTGATGGAGCCAGTGCACTGGTCACGATTTTCGATGAACGTTGTACTTTGTACTGACATGAAAATAAAATGAGTTTTGAAAGAATTGCAGGAAATGCAAGAACTTTTTTATGAACACTCATAATCCCCATCGCTTGATTTCGATATCCACTGTGCAGCACTTTTGATTTTGAGGATGACATGCTTACAGGGACTGTTAAGGAAATTTGAAAGGGGTATAGGCTAAAACCTAAACCCGTCAGGACATTTGGAGGAAAATGTACGCTAGATTCTGACATGTGTATTTAGCTAAAAGATTACACAGACTGCTTATCTCCTTTCACAGGGTGGGCTACGTAGGCCTATAAGTTGACACGACATGCTACGTTTTTACGATAGGTTTTTAGAGTGCCATCTCACGGCCACTTGTTGAACATAATATCCATTCACGGGTTAAGTTTTACAACTTTTAAAGAAATACTCCAGTTTTAAACATGAAACATAACATTTATGAATTCAGTCTTTTTTTTGGAAGATTTTGTGTTTCGTATCCAAAGGATCCTTAAATATCCCTGAATACAATGTTTGATGATTGGTTGTGTACAGTGTGGAAAATATCGCATATTTTAGCTAATTATCGATCTCTGTAACTTTCATATCTCTGATTTAGCTCAATAAACTACACTGATCATTGTTGTTATTAGGTGCAGTACGTGGAAAAGGGATAAGAAAATAAACCAAAATTTCGTGGGGGGGGGGGTTGTGATTTTATTCATGGTCTATTTGGGTTATAAAAAGAATTTAACTTTTTCTTCACCTTAATCATACATGATAAAATGGTAAATGAAGACAACTTCTCATAAATATACAGTGCTCCCCAAAATAAAATGGTAGGCATTGGCGACATTTTAAAATATACAGTGCTTCCCAAAATAAAATAATAAGCACTGAAAACTTCTGGGGAGCACTGTATATTTATGAGAAGTTGTCTTCATTTACCATTTTATTATGTATGATTAAGGTGAAGAAAAGTTACAATTCTTTTTATGACCAAAATAGACCATGAATAAAATCACCCTCGTCCTCCCCCACGAAATTTTTTTTATTTTCATATCCCTTTTCCACGTACTGCACCTTATAATAACAATTATCAGTGTAGTTGACTAAGCAAAATACACACGTCAGAATCTAGCGTACATTTTCCTCCAAATGTCCTGACGGGAACCTACACACTTCAGGAGTTCATCGCAACCTATAGGAGTTCTGTTTGATGTCCCGGTCTCGAGAAATTGATATAAACATGTGTCAACAATCTTATATATATATTTGAGATGTGGTATATAAATCAAAGTTTTAAACGGATCACATTCAGCAAATGCCAAATACGCAACCAATCTGAAAATTACGAACCCAGAGCAAGAATGTAATGCAAGGAAAGATAATTGCAGTTGCGTATACCCTGCGTACATATTAAAACCAGTTCTCTCTGGGCGGAATTTGTAAACAAGAAAAGATGCATCAGTGTTCGTTTAGTAGTCGATGAGGTTAAAAGCATTGAATTTTGATAATTTTGATAATTCACATAGTATATAGTTCCTATGACCAGAATATTTCATAGATTATTTATGTGAAAGATGGATCCCATGGCAGGCTTAAGGGTTTCCAGTCGTAATTACGTTACGCGTAATTACGCGTAACACTTTCTTTCACTTACGCAGGAACATTACGCGTAGTTACGCGTTTATTACGTTTACGAAAGAAAGTCTAGTTTCGCGTAATTAAGGCGTAATTACACGAAATTACGTAATACGAAACAATTCCGTAATAAATAAAGTACATATTAATTCTCAATTCTCTTCAATAACATCTCTCTCCGCAATCGTCTTTATCCGTCTCAAAGAATGTTGCCTTTTAAAACCATGCTTACCTGAAGCTCCTTGTATGATTTTGCCAGTTCTTAAATTTTGGCACCGGTATTTTATTTTATTAATCTTTGCCGATATAGTTTATTGTATTTTTCGTCTACTTTTATTAAAATCAGAAAATCAAAATGTACATATCGTTGATATATATATATTTGGCCCTTTGTTAAACTTTTTAGTTGTCGAACGTGAAAATTACATCAACATAGTATTGGCTGAAATTCTGATTCAACTTGCGTGACATTATTTTCCTTGTAAGTTAGTTGTTTTATTTAAATAAAAAGTTAAAACTTCAAAATTTCATAGACGTAATTATTGCAAAATTTCGGAAAATTACTTTGTAGAAATTACGCGAAATTGAAGTTTCGCTAATTACGCGTAATTAATACAAAATTTCGAAAAATTACCTTGTAGAAATTCCGCAAATTAGGCCTTAATTACGCGTAATTATAGTTTTGCTTATTACGCGTAATCATTATGAAATTTCGCGAAATTACGTTGTAGAAATTACGCTACATTACGCCGTAGTTTCGCGAAATGGATATTTCCCCAATTACGCGTAATCCTGCGAAATTACACGAAATGAAAATTATTACGCGTAACTGCACGTAATTACGCGTAAGAGAATAATCTATTACGTTGGAAACCCTAGCAGGCTTCGACGTCCGTCTTGTGTTTACATTACCGCCCAGTGACAGTACACAGCAGTACAAAAGATGCGTACACCTCTGAAATAACTTTCCTTGCATTAAATCCTTGACCCAGAGGAACCTAAACAGCCTAGGTACGCTCCTAAATTATAATTTAAATTTAATAATTTTTCATTTTTAATTGATATAATTGATAATAAAATGGAATCGTCTGTATTACATGACCAGAACTTCCACCAATGGCAGTGCAAGTATCTGGTCCCCTTTCTCCATCTGTCTCACGTTTTGACAATCCCAGAAATAGAAGAATTTTTTGTTTATTATTGCAAGAATCATACATGTAAAAGAAGGTTGACGACTATAAGTATATAAAATAAAACTAAAGATTTAAGACGACTTTCAAATTGTCTTGCTACTGTCATGTTTCGTGGGACACCCTGTATGCATCAAGAATGTCCGTTTTCAAAAGACTATTTTTGGAAAAAGAAAACTGCAAAGAATAGTAAAATTCATATAAAGGTATATATTTATTTAATCAATTTATTTAATCATTAATCATAGATAAGAGAATGAATAAATAGTAAAGATATATAAAATATATATATTGCTTAATTTAGGTGATAATATCTATTTACTTGAAGGGATTGTAAAGGAAAATAGGGCATAGGCTAAAAGCTGATCACTTTAGCTCTTGATAATGAAAGCTTATACCCCCTTTAAATTTTTTAAAGTCCCTTTAATTTAGGTGATAATATTTACTTACTTAAATAATTTTTACAATATTGATTTTGTTAGATGAAAGGGACTATCAACATAAATCTCAAATTGAAAATATTTCTGAACTGTACGGTTTAAGCTGACATTCAGAGTGATTAAAAAACACGATAATTACAAATTTTTTTTTTTTCTATCTAAAAATTGATTAATGATTCTAGACTGCAGTGACCTCAACCTGTGGGATTAGAATTGTCTCATTTCAGATTTCACAAATTATCAGAAAAATGTATTTGAATTAATCCAGTCGAGGTATTTGGAAACCCTTGTGTACACTCCAGGATAATCTAAATAAAGAATATTTTTTTTTAAACCACTTATTTATGGAAAATATTTTAAATGAGATTTTTTTTAATGTTTTTCTCATCGTGGCACCAGTCAAATGAAAGCGTGTACATTCTCACACCACTCTAAAATTTGTGTGATTCGAGCCGGTACAATGTGTACTGTAATGCATTCACTCATACTGTCTAGAGTAGACCCTGCACCATAGAGAATAGAATATATATTAGAGTGGAATTTTATTTTTTAGTTATAACGGAAAATCATCGTTTGTAAAGTGAAAGGCATAGAGCCTATGTGAAATGATCATTGGTCAATTATGAAAACAGCCTATTTCATAATTTGATTTTCTTTTAATATAAATTTTAGATTTTCTATAAAATGATGTTTCAGGGCCCAAAAGGTTATATAGCGCAAATAAGTGAAATATACCTGCAGTATGGAAACAGTACAACAAAATGGCCGTTTTACACTTTTTTCTAGTAAATTCCACTGTAATATATATTCTATTCTCTTTGCCCAGCAAGTTTTATAAACAAATATAGCATGGCAAGATCACATGTAGAGTAGCTCTAGACCACTTCCTTAAATTGAGATGGTCTAGAGCTCTTCTGTGTAGCACTGGTGCTACGATGAGTTAATATATTTAAAACAAGAATTATTCCTAAAGTTATAAAGCTATTTAAAAAATTTATAGTATTCCAACCTTCTTCGGCACATTTGGCCCCCCAAGATACTACACCACACACCGACCAAGAACCTGGAAAACATATTTTTCTTCATTTTTTTCTGAGATTGTTTATGCAAACTACATTCAAGATTTAAAGCTTGCGTGAAATTTACTTTGGTTTGACGTAGACTAAATAACATTAACAATCAAAATTGTTATTGTTCTTTATCCTTTAAGATCTTTACAGTTAACAAGTGGCTGGAACTGCACGGAATATAACGGACTGGAACGGGAATGAAACGATAGAAAAAGAACGAACGCGGAACCATCGATCTAGCTGAAGGCTCTCGTTCTAGAACAAGGAAAGAAAAATTACAAAATAATGGGAACACACCCAGCCTTAGAACATGATTTACCTGTAAATGAATTCTTACAGTTAAGAGGTCCGCCACTGTCTCCTTGGCAGGAATCCACTCCAGGAGACCCAGCGCACATCATAGTGTCAAGAACAGATCTAAAATAGTTATTAAAGAGACAGTTCATGAATTCAGCACACATCATAGTGTCAAGAACAGATCTTAAATAGTTTTTAAAGAGACAGTTCATGAATTCAGCACACATCATAGTGTCAAGAACAGATCTTAAATATTTATTAAAGAGACAGTTCATGAATCCAGCACACATCATAGTGTCAAGAACAGATCTTAAATAGTTATTAAAGAGACAGTTCATGAATCCAGCACACATCATAGTGTCAAGAACAGATCTTAAATAGTTATCAAAGATACAGTTCATGAATCTAGCACACATCATAGTGTTAAAACAAATAATTAAAACAAATTCTAATATAAAATACAATCCTAATTAAATTTTGATTTAAACATTTTTATTAATTTGGTTTTTATTTTTTTCTAAAAATCTTTACCTGCCGATATTTTGATAATTAGCAGCACATTTCTAAACAAAAATCTTTAATTTTACTTTTCAATTGAATTTGAAAAAATAAATCATTTTTAGGAGAAAAAATGTTAAAAATATCAAGGAGGATGAAACAACCTGCCTATTAATGTCATTTTTTTATTTCATTTGCACCCGAAACCATCAAAAATCATTTCTACCAGAGAGGGAGGGGGAGATAATACTTTACAATATGTACCCCTTTGAATGTTTTGAATAATGTAAAACTTTGCCTGTTGGTTCCACACATCCACCTCCACTTCTCTGAGAACATCACTTGCAGGGCCGCCAAAAAATATTGTGCCCCATCCTAAATAAATAAATTATTCCTTGTTACAAAAATCGCATTTTTTCAATACGGAAATCCCATAAATAAGATAAAAAAATTAAACCTGCACATGCGCCTATAGTCATCGATTATCTTTCGATAATTCGAAACAGCTTGTTTTCGAACATTCCTGGAAAATATTAAAATGTCGCCTTCATTACCAAAAATCCTCGAAACAGGAATAAATGTTTTTATAAGTAACTCTCAGATCATAACAATTAAAACATATTATGAAAAATCAACTATATACAAATGTGGCGAAAGATAATCGATGACTATAGGTTGTAATATTTGGAATTGTTTAATATTAAATTGATTTTTTCACTGTGTCGTATGTTGCATCTTTCTGAATTTGTATGGACACTGTACTACGTTCTTCGGTATTTGTCGTTTTTATCAATTTTCTCCTTATAGACGCAACAGATAGAAGTAAGATTAGTAGCGATCAAAAGCGCTTTTTTATCGCATTAAGCCTATACCCCCTTTCATTTTTCGCGAACACTACCTTTAATTGTTGAAAATTTTATATCAAAAACTAAATTTTTGCAACACAAATTCGAACATTAAAGTATTTCATAAAAAAAACATTACCTATAACCCAGGCCTTTTGTCCTTCAAACTCTTCGTTCGGTTGAGGGAGACAGATGGGGAAAACAGATTTAGTTCTGAAACATAGTTTGGTTTAGGGAGACAGATTGGGAAAACAGATTTAGTTCTGAAACATAGTTTGGTTCAGGGAAACAGATTGGGAAAACAGATTTAGTTCTGAAACATAATTTGGTTTAGGGAGACAGATTGGGAAAACAGATTTAGTTCTGAAACATAGTTTGGTTTAGGGAAACAGATTGGGAAAACAGATTTAGTTCTGAAACATAATTTGGTTTAGGGAGACAGATCGGGAAAACAGATTTGTTTTTAAAAATGTGTAAAAGGGCAAGTTTGAAGTATTTAAAAAAAATTGGTGGATTTTTATTATTCTATTTGAGCCTTTTTACATTAAAAAACTATGCTTTTAAAGGGCTTTTTAAATAATCTTAGAAGTTTCGACTTTTAAAATAGCATTTTTGATTCTGACAGAAATCAGATCTAAACGATTTTTTCAAATTGTTAGATACTCACCCCCCCCCTCCTCCCTGGACTGAAAAAGCTCCTGATTTTTGAGATATTTTAAAATATATTTAAAGTAATTTTTTCAAAAAAGTTTGAAAGTTTTTACCTTGTAATAGGACTAGCTAACTTTAGAATTGCAATGTCGTTTTCATAGGTTGCATTATTATACTATAATTAACTCACAATTAAGTTTAAATTAAAATCTTGAAAGTATGTACTCTAACTCATTTCTATGTAAATATTGCAGAATAGAGATGTTCTGTTAAAATTAAAGGGAATGTAAACATAATTCTGCGAGACCCTACATGCAAAGATGGCAATGCCATATTAACAATGTTAACCTTGGAGCCCTAATCAGATCAAAAATGTGGAAGACAATATCGTTTTTCTAACTCGGAAACTATTTTTCTGTGTTTCTTATAAGCAACAATTGTCACTTTTGTAGAGAAACCACAAATGAAAAAAACGTACATATCAAATTTATACCTGGTCAGATAAAGCTTTCAATGGTAATGTTATGAATGAGCATTGCCATTTTTACATCGAGTGTTGCTTAAAATTACTTAGACAGTCCCTTTAAATATTTACATATTTGGTCCCATGCAAACTTAAAGTGACCCTTCATGCGTAGAGTTCAGACTGTACTGTGCACACCAAACTTTGCAGCTGATCATACAAGCAGATTTCGATACATTTTCACGCACATCTCTGTACTCGATGAACATATAAAGGTTTTAAGCGTACCGTTATGAATCGGGCGTTGCCAAATTTTTAGGGAGGGTCACTTAAAATGACGCTTACAGTCCCTTTAACTATACAATTTCAATGCAGACTCAATAATTTTGTTTTCAATTTTTGAACTTGATTTTTAAGTATTTCCTGTTGATGAACTATTACAGATTGAACCGCGTACTGTTGATCTTGTGTCTCTCCAGCAGCATTGAAATCATATTCTCCAAGCTTTACTTGGATCTCTTCAGTTTTAAATCTATATTATTATTAATCAGAAAAGATAATTTCGTTTTGCATGAAACTCTACCTTCAGAAATTATAAGAGTAATGATAATATAATCTATATTATTATTATTATAATTGAACATATCATGTTATTATTATTATTTTTTATAGAAAATGACACCTACATAACAACACAATGCGCTGCGGTTAGGACATGAGTATCTGAGATAAGAGTTCCTCCACAGTACTGTCCAGAGCCTGTGCTGCTGGGTCGGAGCTTAAAAAAGGAATGTTCGCGAAATATTGTATAAATTGAGTATTTGCCACAATCTCTGATTTTATAATCCCTACATCTTTGCAACATCTTTAATATTTCAAAGGTGCAAAGATACAGGGATTAGAAAATCAGAGTTTGTGGCAAAATTTCAATTTTGATTAAATTATTAGTTGTTCGGTAAAAAACAAGAAAGAAACAAAACTACAAAAAGGACTTCAGAGACTTTTAGCAACAGAGAGACATAGAGTTCAAGACTTAGAAAAGATGAAACATTAAAAAAAAATTTAAACGGTAGTTACAGGTTTACCAGTGCAGCTAGACAGGGCCATACATTAGGATCTTACCAGGGCAGCTAGCCAGGGCCATTCATTAGGATCTGCTGGTTTCCCTCCAACTATTCTAGTCTGGAATCTCTTAGTGTAAGCTCCACATCCTGGTACGGGTCCTGGAGCTGGTTTTTCCTCTGTGATCGGTATAATATCAAGTCCTGATAAATGCAAAAACTAGATTTGATGAATTTTCCTATTTCATGTCTTCAGTAGAGATGTCAAATTACTAATTTCTGACTTCTAGAGATGTAAAACCTGTATTTCCTGTCCTCAGAGATATGAAATTATTATTCTTGTCCTCTAGAAATCTAAAATTCCAGTCTTATTTTTAAAAGATGTGAAACTCTTGTAACAATTAATACTGTATAAAATAGTTTTTTAAATTTCCTATTTCCTGTCTTGCAAAGATAACAATTTCTTTTCGCAGCTTCAATATTTTTAAAAAAGTTTCACCTTGGTTTTCTGAGCACTCAGGTATACAATGACCCCATTGTCCCTGACCTCCGATATGCTGACCTTTATAATTATTTTATTAATATTGTTTTTTTTTCGAAAAATTGTAGTATCATAATTGTAGCATAAAAGTTTATTTTGCCAAAAAAAATGATTTAAAAATTTTTTTTTTTTCTAAAATTTAAACTAGTAAAAAACACTAAGTATTAAAGGGACTGTAAGCGTAGTTTGAAGTGAACCTCCATGCAAAAATAACAATGCCTAACTCACAACAGTACCCTTCAAACATTTATCTGATCAATACTGTGGATGATATTGTCGGTTTTCTAGGTTTAAACGTGTTTGTTTCTGATAATTCAAGAAGTAGAAATGCGCAGGTCGAGAAACCATGCTGAAAATAATCAGTTTTGAAAACGTAATATCTAATTAATAATTGATCAGACAAAGGGTATCGTTGTGAATCGGGCATTGAAAATTTTGCCTCGAGGGTCATTTTTAATTTTTTTCAATTTCAACAACTGTTGCTTCTTATACAAAAGATTTGTTTTACAAATTATTGTTGCTAAAAATACTTCGGAAAAAATTAAAGTTAAAATAAAATGTTAATTAGTCAAAAAGGTTAAACTAACTTCAAAAATTTATTAAAATTGATTAAATTGATTAAATTGATTAAATTGATTAAAATTGATTTAATTGATTAGATTGATATAGATCCTTCAAGTTAAAACGAATCTGAACAATTAAATTGATTCTAAAAAGATTCATTTTATCTCAAAGGTTAATTTGAACTCAAAAATTAAATTGATCTTTAACGTTAATTGATTCGATCGTTTAAACGGCCCCAAGTGTTAAATTGATTCTAAAAGGTTTATTTCATCTTTAAGGTTAATTTGATCTCAAAGTTTAAGTTGATCTCAAACGTTATTTGATTCGATCGTTTAAACGGCCCGGCCCCCAAGTGTCAAATTGATTCTAAAAGATTCATTTCATCTCTAAGGTTAATTCGATCTCAGAGTTTAAATTGATCTTTAACGTTAATTGATTCCATCGTTTAAACGGCCCCAAGTGTTAAATTGATTCTAAAAGATTCATTTCATCTCTAAGGTTAATTTGAACTCAAAGGTTAAATTGATCTCAAACGTCAAATGATTCCATCGTTTAAACGGCCCCAAGTGTTAAATTGATTATAAAGGTGACCCAATTAATCCTCTGAATGAAAGTGACCTGTTCCATCAGTGAGTGTGGAGCACCATGGCTTACCGTCATCGGCATCGTCTAACGTACATTTTGTATGGGTTATTCCCTGAAATCATATTGAAATTGAAATATTTATTTAATTTATTTTCAAATTATGTACATTTAGAACTAGAAAACTATGACATATAAATACGAAGTTGAGACTGAAAATATTAACGAGACAAAGCAATTGTGTAGTTTAAACGAATCCAGATCACTCGATAAGTGATTTGAAATGTAAAACGATGCTCCATTATTTACCTTATGTATGGAAGGGAGGACGCACATTGCTCAGTTATGTACCTTATGTATGAAAGGGTGGACGCACAAAACTCTATTATTTACCTTATGTGTGATAGTGAGGATGTGCCAAACTATATTATTTACCTTGTGTGTGAAAGAAAGGACGCACAATGCTCTATTATTTACTTTATGTGTGAAAGGAAGTACGCACTATGCTCCTTTGTTTACCTTATGTGTGATAAAGAGGACACAGAATGCTCCATTCTTTACCTGTGTGTGATATGTAGGACACACAATGCTCCATTATTAACCTTATGTGTGAAAGGGAGGACTCACAATGCTTCATTATTTACCTTATGTGTGATAGGGAGGACGCAGAATGCTCCATTATTTACCTTGTGTGTGAAAGGAAAAACGCACAATGCTCCATTATTTACCTTATTTGTGAAATGAAGGACGCACCAAACTAAATTCTTTACCTTGTGTGTGAAAGGAAGGACGCACAATGCTCCATTATTTACCTTATGTGGGAAAGGAAGGACGCACAATGCTCAATTACTTACCTTGTGTGTGAAAGGAAGACCGTACGATGCTCCATTATTTCCCTTATGTGTGAAAGGGAGGACGCACAAAACTTTATTATTTACCTTATGTGTGTAAGGAAGGACGCACAATACTCCATTATTTACCTTCTGTGTGAAATGTAGGACGCACAATGCTCCAATATTTGAATAATGTGTGAATGGGAGGGCGCACAATGCTTCATTATTTACCTTATATGTGAAATGGAGGACGCACAATGCTCGTATATTTACATTATTATATGAAAGGAAGGACGCACAATGTTCCATTATTTACCTCATGTGTGAAATGGAGGACGCACAATGCTCCAATATTTACATTATGTGTGAAAGCAAGGACGCACAATTTTCCATTATTTACCTTATGTGTGAAATGGAGGACGCACAATGCTCCAATATTAACATTATGTGTGAATGGGAGGACACACAATGCTTCATTATTTACCTTATGTGGGAAAGGAAGGACGCACAATGCTCTATTTTTAACCTTGTGTGTGAAAGAAAGGACGCACTATGCTCCATTGTTTACCACATGTGTGAAAGGAAGGATGCACAATAATCCATCATTTATATTAGGTGTGACAGGAAGGACGCACGATGCTCCGTTATTTACCTTATGTGTGAAAGGGAGGACGCACAATGCTCCATTATTGGCTCCAGATACAGTTCTGCAACCTGCAGTACAAATATGTTCAATTAATTTAAGAAGTCTGGGATCATTTGAACAAAATCGCATAATATCGTTTATCTCTGTAAATCTATTAAACTTTGTTGACTAAACTCACACTAGAGTTTTATGCGAAAAGAGTAGATCATCTGCGAAAATTTCGCATTTTTTGCGAACACTATTTTTTCGTCGATAATTTCGCATTTTTTTTGCTCGCAATAATAAATTAAAATCTTCGCTTTTTCGAAAAAATTTGCTTCAATCTGTTGCGCGAAATAAAAAATGCAAAAATTTTACGAAAATTTAGCGAAAAAAAAATGCAAAAATTTCATAGAAAAAAATGCATAATTTCTGCCAATTTTTTATAAAATAAATTATACCAAGCTCTCGGAGCGTTGATTTATAATGAATTACATATCAATATTATTTTCCGTTAAGGGTTCTTTACAAAAATGACTCGCGAATTTATACTGCAAAATTTTCCACAGTATGGCTTTATTGGGTTAAAAGGTACCGGAGTGTATTCCTTTATTTATTTTGTTGAAATAAAACAGATAAAAAAATAATATCTTTTACTTGTGAGTGGAGCTGAGGTTGAAGGAGCTTGGGTAGGTTGTGGTTGTGGAGGTTGAGTAGGTTGTGGTTGTGGTTGTCCCCCAGGTTGACCACAGTTTTTCACTCCTGAGTTAATTTTTATTCCATTTTATTTATTTTCATTTTAGGAATTTTGTGTGTTTTGAAACTAAATATAACGTCTATAATATGACTATATTTTCTAAATCGGTTCAAATGATTTTCATGCTATAATTGCATGTTTTGCGAGACATTTTTGTTTCATCAAATTTGTCATTTGAATATCTTACACTTAAGAACAGTAGTTGACAACATTTAAATGGACAGTATACAGGATGAAATCCCCGAAAGAGAACTATAAAATCGGCAAATCACTAGCGTCGGATTCTGTAACCATTTATCTGTTTAACTTATTTTTAAGAGAGAATAAATTTCACCATATAACTAAAAACATTTACATATATTCAAAGTTTTAGACAGCCTCGACATTAAAGTATTGCAACGGCTTGGCCTTAAGTTTTACTTTAATCAATTTAAATATATTTTTTTTGTAGCCCAGGGAGTGCATTTTAGAAAATTTAAGAAGAGGTTTTGGAAGGATTTTGAAACATTTGCAGTGTTTTGTTTGTACTCAATTATTCGAAAATGTATTTTAACTAGTTTATTTTTTATTTATAAATTGTGTTACGTATGATTGACATATTTTGGTTTCTTTCCCAATTTAACAAAAAAAATCTGATTTTGCCTGAAACATAGTCGTCCACTGTAAACAGATTTGCACTGCTACTCTACTCATAGAAAAATAATTAGCAAAGCAATTAAAGCGCAAAAAATTAGTATGAAAATTCACTATTTCATATAATTTCCGTTTTTTCTGTTCCAAAAACATTTTTGTTTTGCGTTTTCTTAATAGGATAATCTTTAATATTAGTAAAGGATAAAATTTTAATAAAGATTACTATTATCAAACCTACAATGCTTTTTCTACATATAGATGTCAATTAAATAATATTATAAATTTACAATTAAAAAAAAATTGAGACATATTTTTCTGCCTTTAGGAAACAGTTGAAATTTCTTCTTCTTCTTGACCTAGAGAAAAAAATTTAGAATTACGTTTTTTTATATTGAATTATTTTTGTATCTTACTCTTTAAAGGTCCATGCAGCGCATTCAGGGGTGTTATCGCACTTCTGTTTACAACTGAAAGGGTTGTTTTCCTATAACAAAATAATAATGATAATAATAGTTAATAAGATGTGTTATTGCCAATGCTTAGTTGTAATTTGGCTTTTATCCTCAAATAGTTTCTTTTTTTTTTTTGGNGCTTTACAGTAAATGGAAATATTTACTTCTACTGAAACTATAGTGTTCATGCAATGGAAAACCACTTAAAGTTTTATTTTTTTTTACTTTTATCCTTAAATCGTTTTTTGTTTTTTTTGGCTGTGATCCTCTAATCGTTTTATGTTTTGACTGTAATCCTCAAATTGTGTTATGTTTTGGCTGTAATCCTCAAATCCTGTTATGTCTTTGGCTTTTATCTTCAAATGGTTTTATTTTTTCGTAATAAAATATAGTTTTTGAAATATTTTTCCCACATTAAAAACTGGAATATTGAAAAATAATCTACCTGAGATGGATTATTAATAATGTTGAGATTATTATTATCTGGGATAAGTCCAAATCTCCAGCAGGGGCAAACCACCTGCTCAGCCCTTCTTCGATCTCTATCATCATGGCGATCACCATGTTGTCGATCGTCGTCATCTTCATGACTATCACAGTCGTCGCCACGACGTCGCGATTTGTCACGTCGGCGTTGGTCCCCGCTACGACGTTGGTTCCCACCCCGACGACGTTCTTTTTGTTGATCGCCATCATGCCTGTCTGGAAATCGTCTGAAGAGTTGACCGTCACAGTCATAGTTAAAGTCTGGTCTACCATTCTCCTGCGGTCTATTCACTGGGTTTATTGCCACCTAATATTCAGTAATTTTTTGAATTAATGGCGCTTAACAATGCCTTCTTAAAGGAAACTGTACGCGTAATCTCCGTGCAAAGATGGCAATGCCCGATTTACGAGAGTACCCTTAAAACCCTTAAAACCCTTTATCTGATCAATAATGTGGAAGATATTGTCGTTTTTCTGGGGTTAAAAGTGTCTAATTCTGATAATTCCAATTTTTACCTGCAGTGGAAATGTGAAATTCACTGGTGTAGAGAAACCAAAATTAGAAATAATCAGTTATATAAATCAAAAACATTGATATCTGATTCATAATTGATCGGACAAAGGCTTTAAGGGTACCGTTGTGAAGCAGGCATGGGCATCTTTGAATGAAGGGTAACTTTACATTATGCTTCCAGTCCCTATAAAAAATACTAAACTAATATATTTTAAATAAAACATATTTCTAAAGACCAAATTTTATAAATGTGAGTTAGGTCGCTAAACTACCGACCATCGATTTAAATACTTATCTGTATGTATTATGAATCACGGATTCAAAATATGTGGTTAAACCAGCTCAATAGACCTAGCTCAAATTTATAAAATCTGGTTCTATAGTACTACATAACCTTTTTACCTGGAGATTTCCATTTTCGAATCCAAGTTGAATGTCTGTGTTGTTCAGAGCAGTTCTAAAAATATTATTCATAGATCAATCAGAGGCGTATTTTGGAGGGGCTATGGGGGCTAAGCTCTCCCCTGGACCAGTGCAATCTATTGATTTCAGGGGGTTTTCAGGACCCAACGGGTGCTGATCCCCCCCCTCCTGGAAAGAAAAAAATTTTAAGACCCCCTGAAAAAATTCCTGAATACGCCCCTATTTTCAGTGTCATTTTTAAATTGCTCGAAAAAAAATGTTTTAATCAAAAATCCGGCTGCTGCGCTCGCATAGATCTAGCTGTAGACTGCCGCGAAAAGTTATTTTTAAACTGGATTTAAAGTGTATGTTGCTATGATGCCCTTTGATTTGAATTCACAAACTTTTTTGTCGCTTAAGCCATTTTTTTTTCTTTAAAACAATAAAGCAATTATTTTCTTTGCTTGTTTTAGGTTACAATGATTAATTTACCCCCTTCCCCCTCCCACCTTGGAAACATGTATAATTCATATGATAACTAAATTGTAAATTTGAATAAAAAAAGCAAATATAAACATTTTCCTCAAACATCTAGTTCTACTCTTTAACGTTTTTAGTCCCCAACCCCTAAATGTGTTTATTTGAAATCTGTTTGAAATCTGTTTGAAATCTGTTTGATAACTAAAGACAGGATGTGGAACCATAAATATTAAATAAACTGGTAATTATTTTTCTCGAAAACTAAATATTTATTGCCGAAGTTTTGTTGGAAATAATTGTTCATGTATTTGGTAATTGGGGNCATCAAGTATATAAATATATAAATTTCGCTTGTCTGTCTGTTTGTTTCATGTCCGATTTAAAGCGGTACCCTTGACATCAACTGATCAAAAATGTGAAAAAATAATCAGAATGTAGTATTTACTCCTCCAGTTAAAATTTTAAACCCAAGATTAGGAAGAGCAAAGATGTCAATTATTGTTTTTTAAGATTTATAATTTTTCTTGTAAATGATTTACCAAGAATTAATGATGGGCACAGGGTTAACCAAAAAGGATGCGACTGTAAAGACGACTTAAGACTCGAAACATCGATCCCAAGATTAAATTAAGTCTTCTGTCTTAAAAATAGTCTCCAAAGGACTTAATTAATAATTTTGCATATAATAAAAACTTTGACAGTATCCCAGAATAATTAATATATAGGAAACCGATATTTAAAATTACGCACAGTGTGACAGTCGTCTCTGAAGTCTCATCATTTGTGGGTAACCCTGTAGAATAATATGGCAAAACTTACCCAACAAAATCATTTATAAATCCATTTAAAGGAGGAATAGGCGTCGAGGATCCATCCTGAAACAATATTTAAATGAGTAAAAAAAAACTATATGATATGTGACGCACACATGAGTATTCAAATTTGAAAAGAATATTCAATATAATTGATTATCTTGTATAAAGTTGTAATCTCTGCCTGTCTGTCTGTCTCTCTGTGTGTTTGTCCGATCATAACTCAGCTGAATCCTTTAAATTCAATTTGTCTCAAGTTTTGAATGGTGAACTCAGGAGACCAACTGAAATGTGCTTAGCTTGGTTTTGAGACTTTGAGGTTTTGAGAGGGTCGACTTAAAAGGGAAAAATTTAGTTCCCCGGTAAAATCGTTCAAGTGCGGGTAAACAGCGGGAGTAACTTTTAGTAGCCTGGGCAGCGCTGGGCTCCCAAAGCTATATAGTTAATTACATGTAAAGGTAAGAACACATTTTAAATACAATTGAATTCTAAAGAAACTGTAAACAAAAAGACGAAAAAATAAGGTTAAAACTTAAAACTATTTATTTGGATTGCATTAGATTATAATTAATACAGAATAAAATTGAACTTGACTTAAGGGAGTTATCGTATGGTATACAATTTATCTGATCGCAATTACTTGAATTATTGGAGGGTTAATAATTATATTTGTCAATTTTCTTCTAAGGATGTAGTAGTATTTTAAAGTATACTGATAAATTTACTAAAACTCTAATCTTTTCATCATTTATCTTGACACCTGTTGCCGTAACTTTTGATATTTCAAACTATGAAATCTTTTATAAAAATTATCAAAAAGTCATAGTTTGAAATATCAAAGGTTTTAACCATCAGGTTGCAAAGAGATTAGATTTGTGGCGAGTATTATTGCACAAACCGTTTGTTTTGGCCGTTGCAGAATGTTTCCCAGAATGTTACCGGCCACAGCGCCGAGATCAATCCTTTGGCCGTTGTTAATCTGACCGTTATTGTTATGAGGTTGAGGTCCAAACAGTTGTCCCAGGTTAAACTGAACTAGAAAAAAAAAAATTTTTAGGCATAGCTTTGATTTTTTTTAGATACTTAAAGGGACTGTACGCGTATTTTCATGTGACCCTCCATGTAAAGATGCCAATGATAGATTTACAACTGCACCCTTGAAAAGTTGATCTCTTGATCTGATCAATAAAGTGGGAGATAAGGTTTTCTAATTTGAAATTATTTGATTCTGATAATTCCTATATGATTTACTGCAGTAGAAATGCGCAAGTTATTTTTGAAGAGAAACCACTGTTGTGAATATATCAAACATCAAGTATATAAATATATAAATTTCGCTTGTCTGTCTGTTTGTTTGTCTGTTTGTTTGTATCCAATGAACGTCAAAACGGCTGAACCGATCGGGCCCAAATTTGTTGTGGGACATCACGTGACCACAGGGAAGGTTTATGAATGATCAAAATTTCAAATATTTGTCTCCATCAAAATTCGATCTTCATTAAATTTTTGAAAATTTTGAAAATCCACGAAATTTTTTGTGAAAATCCGCGAATTATTTTTGTTTTGTTTAACGATGTACACAAAGAGAACATGTTCACAATTAATTTAGAAGATGGGCGCGAAGCGCCCTCTAAGGCTAGTATATATATATATATATACTTAAACCGGCAAAGCTTTCAAGGGTACCAAGAATTATATAAACCAGGAACCGCCAAATCTCATTCGTTAAATCTGTGTACTGTAGTGGGAGGAGATCAAAACAAAGAGTTCATTGGCAATGCATCATTTTTGAGGGAGAAAGGTCCAAGGGGTGTAATAAGAATATATTGCTATTGTATTTTCCATGGTGACCAGAAAGCCAAAAATCATAAATATTCGCTCTAACTTGATATATTAACTTGTTTTTTTTTTTGGACTGTAAAACAGAGCCTTAGTCCTTTCTCTTCAACTTCTGTGGGGGCACTGGGTTTGTTTACATTCCTCCCACAGAGTACAGTACACAATTTGCGTATATCTGAGTTGGGCGTTCCTGTATATAGTTCCTTAAAAGGGTACTGTTGTTGGGCGTTCCTGTATATAGTTCCTTGAAAGGGTACTGTCGTGGATCGGGAATCGAAATCAGAGGTTCACTTGAAAGTCCTTTTGATCATAAATGTTTTCAATTTACTTACATTGCCGTTTTTGCCGCATATTAGAGCTGACCAGTACTGTACATGTCTGTACAACAAGTACATACTTTAACAACATTTTCTCTTTAAATTTTACCAAATAAAAGAAAAAATGTCCAGCATTCAAGCTGCATGAGCTGTCTTATATAAATCTAGGTCCGAGATTACAGTGATATTCAGAAAACTGTGGAATAAGAAAACGATTTTCATACTTAATTAAGTTATAGCTTTAAATGATTCCATAAACATGAGGGACAACAATTTAGAAGTGTGAATAGACCCATTTTACTTACTAAGTGATGTGACAAGTTGTAGAACACTAAAATTGCTTTGTAACAGCATCAAATACACTTAACTGTTAGTTTAATGTCGTCTTCATATTCCCCAGTTTTTTCTGGTTCTCACAGTATCAAATTATAATAAGTGAGCCATTAAAAAATGAAAGGAAATCACATTGGGAACACAACTAAATCAAAAACAAATCAAAATATATTTATCAAATAAAAAAACATTTAGAACATCTAACCAAAAACACGACTGGCCTCAGCATTCTCAAGCGCCGCTCAGCCCCTTAAACTTATTCAAGTTTTAAACAGGATTTGATAACTAGCAGATGGAAATAGTTTCATTCAGGTTATGATGGTGTTATTTATATAATCTTTACCGTTAACTGGTCGTCGTGCTTCAACAAATACAACAAACAAAGAAAATTTCAAAATTTACTTGTCTAAAAGAACGTAAAAATCTATAAAAGATTGTAATTTAAAAATGTATATCACTTTTCACAGATGAAATGTAAAAAACTCGCTAAAAAAGTGTAATAAGGCTTTTTTATTCTTTCACAGCTCGTTAGTTTTAAAATGAAAGACTTTAATAAGTTATTATTTCTCCTTCTGTAGTTTGCAATGAACTGACTGGTTTAAAGACGTTATGGTTTGTTGGGTTTATGTTTAAACAACTTTACTTAACATACCTCAAATACGACGAGTTAAAAATTTAATATTTTAAATTTTATATTTTTGTGTTACAATAAAAACAAATTTTTATTTTTTTATTTTTATAAATAATTGATTAAAAAGGTTGCGCCGCATATTGCGGGGTAAAAAGTAAACAATTGTTTTGGTGACAAGCTGTATATATTTCTATTCGGGCCCCGTAGAGTATTTATAATGGTTGTTATGGTCATCATAGAGATATTTTGGTGACAAGCTGTATATATTTCTATTCGGGCCCCGTAGAGTATTTATACTGGTTGTTATGGTCATCATAGAGATATTTTGGTGACAAGCTGTATATATTTCTATTCGGGCCCCGTAGAGTATTTATAATGGTTGTTATGGTCATCATAGAGATATTTTAAAACATAATTTTGAATGGTTTTGAGATACTCAACTTTAAGCAATCTTATTTTGTATGCTGTTGAAAAGCATGGCCTATCTTTTTTTCATAAAATTTAACTTGCTTGGATTTGCATTTTAATTATTTCAATTAAGATTTAGAATAAAGTGATTTAGTTTAACTAGTTCAAAAGTATCCAACTCGAACAAAAATCTTAAAATTTAGTTTTTGATCTCTTAGTATATTTTATATATATTTATTGAGACTGTTCAACCTGTAATCTTAGCACACTGCACACACACAGGATAATTCTTACAAAACATTTTTGGAATTCCCAGAGTAGCTTTGAGTTTAATACAGGGTGGGTTGGGAGAGGGGGGAGGAGGTAGGAGGGAGAAGGGTTTAAATGTAAGGAAAGTATACTCTGCGTACATATTGAAACCAGTTCTCTCTGGGCGGAATTTGTAAACAAGAATAGATGCCTCAGTGTTCGTTTAGTATCCGAGGAGGTTAAAAGCATTAAATTTTGATAATTTTGATAATTCACATAATAGTTTCCTAT